GAGTGCCGACCTCTACTAATTCCTCCTTCCCATAGGGACTATTAGCGTGGGGCTTCTGGTTATCTATGGGGAACACCTTGTTCAACCTGGAGTACGACTTTGCCCTCAGACCTCATCACAACGTAGTAACTTACATTATAGTGGTAACCGCTTTTCGTCTTACCAGTATTTAACTGACCTTCCCGGGATGACAGAGCCTCGATGGAACAAGCGTTCACTCATGAGAAATATACCAATCATTCTCATACTTCTATTCAGGGTGTCCAGAAGACTTTGACTTTGACTCTTCTCAGCCTCTTCATCTAACACGAGTGTTATCTGCGTACTACAGATCTACTCGGGAGTCTCACGTGATAAAATCAATCCCATTACCCTGACAAGAAAGTGGAGTTCTCTGTTAGCACGACCGTCACGAAAATAAATAAAAGTGAAGAGAGTGAACATTTTCGACGGACACCACTCGACTCACACAGTTCACCTGGTACCTCAACACATACTCTAAAACACCTACCGGTTTTCCAATAGAGCTAATGTAAAAGTGTGGTGTACCAATTCGACACCTGTTATAATGCAAGACACTGCCATAAGTCTCCTCGATCGACGGAGAAGAATGCTGCCATCAGGTCAAGAAATACAACCACCTAAATGCCTTTCTGTCTGACTTTGCATACCCGCTTGTGCAGTCGAATCACCAGCCACAATGACCACATCTTAACGTTTACTTGTCACCAAGAGGCTAGACGGTTTCGGTGGAACTCCTACTTCCCCTCATCCAAACTCCAGCTAGTGGGTGTGCGTTAGCTGAGATTACAAAGAGACTGTGGTGAGTTTCACTACTCTTTCTAGTCGTCACTGTACCATTCAGCGGAACATCTCACAGCTATCTGTCTACTGGTATCCCTTCGAGCAGTGTACTTTCTGTCTCCCAACCTGATGCTGAACCTGCTAGACCACGAGAACTAGCCATCGAAGAGTGAATTTTACAGATTCACTATGCTGATCGACTGAAGTTAAGTGAATAACCGCACTTCGGTCCTATATGCATGTTTTACAAGTACATCGAATGTCGATGACTGGAAATATCAGATTCATGGTGGCGAAGCTTGCTGTCTGATTTGTCGGAGAGAACGGACATCGAAAGCTTGATGTGTAGTTTGGAGCACGGTTTGTGGAGGTCAGACATACTGTTTTGTGAAATCTGATAGTTATCATTAGCTGCATAGCTAGGATAAAGTGAAGATTTCTTTGGAATGAATATTGACTGAGAGAGGTGAGGATAGATTAGAAGGGAAAGGTGTTGAATGTTGATAACGCTCTGAGGGAACGTGAGCGTTGACGGAGATATGAGGGTGGCTTACACTTTTTGGCTTCCCACACAATGGAAGATTACTTTTTCTTGAGGTACCTGTAAAAAGAAATTGTATTGTTGATGGTGTTGCGTTACCGCAGAGTTCGTGGTACAGCAGGAGCAAGGTTTTAGTAAGTTTGAGATTATAAGTTGAATGTTTTATGTCTACCTTTGCACCACCCTTCACTTTCTTTTATGGAAGGCAGGATCTGCGTAGGCTGCCGGGTATCTATGCTATCTTACTCTGTTCAACCAGCCTCGTTACTGCTATTTTTGCCTTGCTACTATCCAACAGGATTTCTTGGTATAATAATGCCTCAAGGAACAAATGTTTTCACCAGCATGGCTGATTTGGTCCTTGTAATGTGCAAGCTGATCACCACATCTAGTTGTTAGCTATCTGAAGAGGAGAGTAATATGGGCTCATGAAAACAAGAAATTTCAGGGATGATTAGGAATGAAAATGCATGAGTGAGTGAAATTAATATACTGTCTTGTGAATCAAAATAGCAATTAGTTACGTTGCCGTAAGAAAAAAAGAAGAGGGTTTTGATTTTGAAAACCAGGTTTTGCTTCTTTATATGAGCGCAGTTTGTATAATGTAAACAGTATTTGCTTACTAAGTTTCTTTTCGCTGTATTCAGTTCACATGCAATAGATATTTATGTAGTCTCTGAACAGCGATTACTGGGCACACTGTATAAGTTTTTCTCGGCATTAGTCTTTATATTCCTCAAGTAGTTCACCATAGATTTGGAATTATCGACCGTCCATAAAATCCGCCTGCACGATCTGACTAGAAATAATGGTAAATGACTCATTTTGTTATTATTTGCTCAGGTACTCAATCCCAACTAACTTTTTATGTGAGTTTTTATATGGTAGGTCTTGCATCACGAGCTTTTTGACTGCCTGAAGTAGCTGGACTCTCTCTAGAATAGGAAAGATTCACTCATTTTATCTGACAAGCCATCTCATGGTGAAATTTATTCTTGAAATCCAGTTGCACTTTTTATTGTCGTCTTCAATGGTATAAATTGCGAATGATGCACTAAACAATCCAGGCCTCGTACAAAGAGGCAGCGGTTCAAGTTACTGCACTTCATTACTGTTCAAAAAGAGAAAGTAAACAAAAAGCAGGGTGAAAAGACCACACTGATGCAATAGCCTTTGAATATCTTTCAACGTTGTGCTTAAGAAGACGAATTCAAACGTCTAGGTATTTGAATAATTTTTCTACAACCATTTGCTTCCTACACGACCTAGTAATGTGAGCTTCAGTATCCTACTAGTGAGCATCTGCTTGATAGGAACTTACGTTCCTTTGTAGTCTGGAAGTGTCCCCCAGAGTTAGCTCGCATACTCTATGGAGGCATCTCGTTGACTTGGAGTACGCTGAAGACATTGTGTTGCTAGATGAAAACACCGACAGAAATCAGGGTCTTCTGAACGTGTTGAACACAAATCTGAGTATGTTTGGCATGCGTTTTTCATCTGTCAATTGTGAGATGGCGCTTCGGGGTTGGTCTGATGCAAGGACTCCCAGTTTAAGAATCAGAAGTGAATTAATGGAATGCGTTGATGACCACTTGAATTACTTTTGGAGTTGCGTCAGCCCGAATGGGCTAGTTGCCGACGTAATCTCAGCTCATATACGAAAGGTCTGTTTGGTACTCGCCAAATTGAGTCACCTCGTGCCGAATTGTGAGATATCACACTACCTACCAATGGATGAGCATACTACACTACAGTCCGTTCTGTACTGTTAAATGACTGAGGCATGGGCGTTAAAGGTAGAAGACATGAGGCAGTTACAAGTTTTTGATCACATGTGTCTTCGTGGCATTACTCACAATTAGTAGAATCACCATGTGAGCAATGTTGAGATTAAGAGAAGGATACTAGGCAAGACAGCCAAGTCATTCAGTGGGGTTGTGAACCTTCATCCACTGAGGTAGCTTGAACATGTACTGCGCATGCCGAGTCACCGCCTACCTCGACATACCATGCTAGAGAAAGTTGGATCAGTTTGAGAGAGAGTTCAACGTGACTAGACCAAGACGTGGGACCAGTCAATGAAGTCCTTGACTATTGATCTGAGTCGTGTGCGGAGATGCAGACTAGTTGACTGGCTGAGGTTTGTGAGACGATAAGAATGAGTGGTTGAGAACTTTTGTTGCAACAGTTGAAAATCAGTCACATTAGTGCAGATGTATTCATTCTTAGACGTGTTTCAAAGTTTAAATGTTTTGGTGAATTTCCATTTCTTGATTGTTTCTTCTCACATACAGCTTTCTGTATTTGTTTTTTCTATACTACTGTGAAATATGGTAAGTTGAACTCATGCAATTTTGTACAAGGTCCTACGTTGACGTTATATGTTTGTTCGTAGCTATGTGAGGTTTTCTTGACCCGTCGTTTGTCTGTCATCTTTACTTACATCTAGCTTCTGATTTCTTGTCTTCTTTGGGTGACTTCAATTTATCGATTTGCTTCCTTTTTATGCCTGAAAATTACGTAAAATCGTCTTTGATTGTGTACCACAATATAATACTGTGTAATTTTGTTACACTAAGATAACAGTATTAGTTTAGTAAGATGTTCGGATTGTCGTCGGATAGTAAGCAATGTAGTGTTCCAGTTTTGTGCTGATAGAATACCTAACTAATATTCTATTTTTTAATTACCTTTTTCACAGCAGATTCTTTACTGTGTGAATGCAAACCAACACTGAGAGTTACTTTTTGATTTGCAGGGATAAAAAACATTTAAAGTGTTTCTATGTTTTTTTCCTGCGTACTGGAACAACTACAAGTAACCACTGATATCTGAACGTTTGTGCCTATTCTAAGTCAGCCAATGACCTCAGATTAGAAGCGTATTAATAAATAGCGTGACTCAACCTGGTACAGGTTTATCTGAAAGCGTATGATACTTTCTAGGTGCCTGGGCCGAATCGGGTAGCGAATGGTTTGAACTTATGACCCATTCCCTAAAAGTCGAGTGCTTACGCTTACACCGTTGAACGACGAGTGGAAGCGGACATAGAAAAAGATTCTTTAATGAACGTTTTAAAAAGTATTATTGACTCGGCCATCAGAATATTGCTGCATAATTTTAAAAATTTTAAAAACTTTGATGATCTATTACTTAGTTACATTCCTCACTCTAGAAATGAAATTCAGAAATGAAGTATAAACTCATGTCTCACTGGGAACCCAATGCTTTTCGTGTATCATGCTGACTGATTATCATCGTTTGTTGAGCGTTTCAAGGAAGGATGTTAGTTCTGGATTGTGGTTAGGACTTATTGTCCCCGCTCTACTTCAAAAAACGGGACATGAAACACTCACCATCGAATTTTCCCTCTCACTTTTAAACACCATCCTTTTTTTAAAGACAAATAATCTTTCTAAATTCCTTGTCATTCCTGTTTATTTATGGTTAGGTTATCAGTATTTTCCAGATGTTAGTACAGTGATTCGTCCTTTGTTTACTCTCTTGTTTAACTTTTGCTTTACTTGCAAATTAATGAGTTTGTTTCCTTTCTCATTTACTCTTGGTGAAGCCATATTGTTTTCTCATCTATCTGCGGTATTTATACTAACTGAGTGTAAATTTTTAATCCCTTTCTTAATGCTATTTGTAATAGAGCGTTATGGTATTATTTTCTCAGTGAGGAATGCTTTCTTAATGCTGTCAATTCTTCCTGTTTCTTTTGGATGTTTTTGGTTGTATTTTTGCCGAACTCAGATTTCTAAAAGCTTCATTATCTATCAAGTCGAATGCATTATCTCTTTGACTAATCTTATTCTGCTGATATTTTGGTTTTGTCTTTTTGTATTGTGCGTTTGTATTACTGTCTTTTATCGCCGTTCTAATACTAACTATCATAGTTTATTACAATTGGATTTCTACAACTCTTCGACACTGTCATCAGAGGATTCACATTTTTCAGATCAGAGTGACTATTATAAAGCATTCGACACAAATGAATTGAACAATCATAATTCAACCTTTAGTTTGGTGTTAGGTAATGAAATGAGGTTTAGAATTCGTAAACTGTTTCATTTTGCTGCCGGTATTGTATATTCATCTGGTTTACTGTACTCACCACAATTACTTTCACTGGCTTCTGCTGCTCTACTGGTTGCATTTTGGTGTTTTGAATGGATGCGAAGACGAGGGGTAAGTTTTTTCATAGTTTTTCAAACTACTTAATTGCATCACGATAAAGATTGTTAAAGACTGTGACTATCGTCGATCATCCCTTATCGTTAGTTGTATAGTTTACTTTGCAGTTTAAACGTGGTACTAATTAACCACTGCTCAAAGTTGGACTTTTATGATCATGCTTCATTTTTTCACTCACGCACAGTAACTTATCAGCTTCCATGACTGGTATAATTTTTGTAGGCTATCCGTTACTAAGGCAGCTAGAATAACATCCCGAAGAATACTATACCTTTTTGTAATTGCCCTAATATAAGATTCACCACTTGGTCTTTAAATCGTCTCCTGAGGAAATACACTTTAGTTTACTCCTCTTGACTCTCATCGTTATATTTGTCAGAATGTAAAAACGCTCTGAAAAAACTTGGAAAACCTTTCTTTTACTTCACCTCATAAGGTGTATTGTTACTTGTTACTTGTGTAATACCGGCGTAGTATATTGGAATAAATAAAAAAAACAACATATTTAGTATTATTCCTCAACGGTTCGATCTTGCTAGGAAGAGATCCTTTTCAAGAATATGAAACTGATATTCAAGTTTTGTACAGAAGGTGACCTTTATGGTCAACCAGTTACACCGTGATATGGAACGAAGGACAATGTAATGTAGGTGAGTGAATTAGCAAATCGGTCTGAGTGGCTTTCCACAACTGTTTTAGTAAGGTGGAACAAAAACAGGGTCCTAAAACTTGAATATTAACCTGAAAACTTAATTTCAGATTCATACTCTTCAAAAAGATCTTCCTAGCACTATCGAAACGTTGAGAAATAATATAAAATATTTGTTTATCTTGTTATTTGTTCTAATATACTATGCTGGGATTACACAGGCAGAATACACCTTATACGATGAATCATACTATCCCAATGCCCAAGATTTTCCAAACCATCCAGTCCATTGTTGGTTAGCAGGTTGTCAGTAAGTGACACAAATCGGAGCACATTTCATTACATGGGCTTCCAAGTCAACTGTTCTATTTCATCGTCTAAAAATATATGGGATATGCATGAACAGTATGTTGAAAGACTGAAGTGAAGTTGTAATTGATTGCTATGTATAATAACTCAAACTGGTGGAGCATAAATTTTTTTATAGAAGTAATAGTTATGTTTTGGAGACGGACGAGTGAGACTCATTAGTGGTTCATGTCATATTTTCTTTCAGCTCATCACTCTGTGTTGTATGCTTATGCAATTAAATATGTCATGTCATGGTTAGTGTTTTTTAGAATTTACTTTTCTGTTTTCGTCGCACTTTTTCCTAGCCTAGCGATATTTCGTCGTATCTTGGTTCTATGGTCGATCCATTCCGTGATAAAAGAGACTCTGGTGATATTTTAATGACCCCGATCGCTCTTCTACTTGGTCTAAGCATTCCTCTTTGGTGGCCTCAAGGTTTACGGAGTAGCAGTAGTGATATTACGGTTAGCATCGGTAGGTGAAGATAGTATTTTATTATTCACTTTTGAGGTTTGTGGGGATTTATTGATTTAAAGTCGGTATTCATTATCAACTGACATCAATTGGAGAACCATTGGAAACATGGGAGCACTGGATAGCATTTTCTTCCTCAGCAGTGCGCACCTATTATCCGACCAGGGCTCGAACCCAAGGCCTTCAGGTTCCTCAGCCAGCACGTTACCATCTGGCTACTGATAGTCCGGTTTCCTTCCTCTGTCAGTTCACGATATAGCGCGACCTTCATCTAATGTCGTTGAGTAAATGTCCTCATGTACAGTACTCCTAGGTTTCGAGTAGCTCTTCTACTGATGTCAGTCCATGATGAATAAAAATCTGAAATATTTTGTAACTTGTTTTACATTGATTCAGTTTGTGTATACGTGTGTGTAAGGGATATTTTGTCGACTTATATACGTTAAAAAATATTGCTAAGATAAACTCTGTTGGTTATGATGTTACGTTTTAGTTCCTTTTCGTAGCCGCATTTTAACTACAATATCTAATAGTACGTTAAGTGTGAATAATCAGATGTGTTACCTCCACTTGGGACGGATATTACCACTTTTAATTATACGAGAAATCTTTATGACGTACACCTGTAAACTACTTGTTATAATTTTCAACTGAATAATATGCAGCACAGTCGGAAAATAGTTCATTGCGTGACGCTCTGTCAGCTGAATTAGCATTAAGCTAGAAAAAACTAGAGATAACTAAATCGAAATATGATACAAACCCTCACAGTCACTTTTGATTTGAGCTGCTCGAAGACATATAGGCTCCCAGGGTGGGGACTTTAAGGTGACAAAACGTGGTCGTTGGAGAACCTAGACAATATTTCTCAGAAGTGATTATGCTGTCGGTAATTCATGTATGCTTTATCCTAATCATCATATACCACATTACCTTACTTGAATTATTGAAATTTATTTTTATCCTATGTCCTTCTATGACTTTGTTGTCATTTATTTGTCTTTCCTCTTGCTACTTCCCACCTTGATATGCTGATATATGGTGTAGTAATTTAAACAGGTACGTAGTAATTCTAAATCCCATGTTGACAGTTTCCATGTCAGTCTATCTTTTATTTAAGACGTGAGATAAAGAGAGATTCTATTGTAGTCGGTATCCAGGATATGATCCCATTTGAGGAATATCTGTTTAGAGCCGGAGATTTCCTTTTTCTTGGTTGAAAGTAGAATACGCCCATTTGTTAAATTAGTCTACCATAAGGTATCGAGTGGGTTTGTTTACACAACCCTGAAACACCGTGCTACATCCAAACTTTTCACTGGTTTCTTTCACGTAGGCTAATGTTAGAATAACCTTGCCTACATAGACTGTATTCTTGAAACTTAACTGGTTTTGGGTGGAATAATCTCTGAGGATGTCTTTCTGCGCCTACTTTTGCTCTTTTTGACGTCTTACACAACTTTTGGAGTCTACTCGCTGCATTTGTATTTATCTATGAATGCAAAAAAAGATTTTCTCTGGCTGGCATTTTTCTGTTTAATGATACCTATATTATTTGTGACCAGAATACGAATCTCGAAAACCTGCTTCAAAACTTCAATATTGCTGATCTCTTCATCAAAATTCACTCTAGAAGTAGAGTTGAACATAAAATTCCACTTGGCGTCCAACTTCAAACAAAAGGTAACAATTGAGTCCAGAGATCTATTTGTAGAAGGCCTAGTTGCAGCGTTTAGTTGATCAGATTTCAAAGCCGTGTGCCCTTAAGGAGAAACAGGAATCTCATCAACTCACGAATACGAAGAATGTGCGCAGAGGATACCATTCGTGATAAACTAGAAAACTTGCGACAAATACTGATGAAAAATGGACACCCACTGAAATTAGTATGTAGGAATCTAAAGCCGAAAAGTGCCTAAGAATGTGTACACGCTGCTCCGGAAAAGATTTTACTACTGAACGTCGAATTCGAAGGAAATAGTGCTGCAGATATACTTAAACTATCAAGGTCCACAAACAGAACATTCTTTGCCGCCAATCTTCGGATCACATTCTCCTGTGAGAAACTCATTCGTTAGTACACAAAGGATAAGCTGGAGTATTGGACCACATCAATATGTGGATATCAGTTTACTTGCTCCTGTGGAGCCGTGTACATCAGCCGTATCATGCGCCAGCCTGTGCAACGCCTTCGCGAACACTATACAACTTGGCTGACAATGGGAGAACGAAAATGGATCCTCAGCTCTGTAACAGGATACTCAGGACATCTGGCTCCTTCTGATATGTCCTTCAAAATTCTGTACAAAGTGCGACCAAGCCACTCTAAAGGAGTGAGGCTAAGACATCTGGGCTTAGGTTGAAGCATTAGCAGTTCAGAAGTTCAAACCACCCTTATGCTTTCAAAGAAAGTATGTACAACCTCTTTCTTTGCGATGATCATTGTAGATTATGGATCAATCTAGATAACCTATATATGACGTAACTACTTCTTATTTCATTTGTTTCCCCAGTACGTAACTTCCCTTGGTGACGCAATCTATGTTGACCTTGACAGGAAATTACTTTGGAATGCTCTATCCATTTTACTATATATTCACAAATGTATAGCTGAAGAAATGATTTCATCAGCAACAAAAAATTTCTTCGCTGCAATCATCTATGCTTTTCTATGATCAAATAGGATAGCTTCGATATTTAGTGATATTACCTTTCTCAAAGTTGTAGTAAACTGGAATCTGCAGTATCTAAGCTTGTATATGATACCTTGATTTGAATTTTTCTGCATATGTGTTTCTGTGTTGCCGAGTTGTTGAGAAACAGCATAATCATATGTAGTATGTTACGTATAATGTATGTGAATTATGAATTGAGGTTTGTATGTACACATTTATTTATAGTCATTATTGCATGTGTTGGCTATGTCAGTATGCGGCGGTGGTGTTAAACTAGGTCGAGGTATGCTTTGCTTCCTCATTCCTATTCAGACAATTTTGATTCCAGTTTATATGAAAAGATTCTGTCTTTCTGAATAATTTCGATATTGTCAAAGAGTCGGCTTTGTGACCTGAAATTATATCTATCGCTGAAGTGTTTTCAAGCTTTTTCAACTCAACTGGATTTTTATGGAGTCGAATGGAAGCCCTTCGACAGCTCAGAATCATCCATTTAGTGTTATAATATATGAGCTTGAATGCTGTAAATTCAGTTAAGACTACCTTCTCTTGTTTTACAGTGATTTGGAAATACAAATAATAAAATAATGAATATAACTTATTAATTGCCGAAATGTTTTCAGACCATCAAATCCTGGCTTAGTTAGGATATCTGAACTTGCCCTGTCACTATGTGCAAATCTGCTGATTTATTTTCATCTGTTAAATACATCTCTGAAAGACAAATACCATCTTGCTTCATGAACTCATGTAAAATGAAGTATTTTGTAAGTAATATATCTAGACTGAATTGTGTTCTATTTTTGCACCTTGGCAATGCTAGAACAACAAATTTTACAGAATACGATAAATTCATTGTATTTCGTCGCCTTCTTTTCAATTGCGCTATAAAATCATACGATGCATATAGAGTGAAGTACAATCCACATAATTCACTTGTCAAGAAGTTGATAGCCCATTGATGACATAATGAAAGGGTTGACACCGGTAAAGAAAGTTCAAATGAAATGATGACCACTAAAATTGAAGTTATCTTATGTGTTTATATAGTCAGATTGTCATCTTTCTATATGTGATCAATTAGTAAGTGGAACAAAAAGTATTACGTAAGTGTTTGTGGTGAGATAAAGTTTAAATGAGAATAGCAGAAACGAGTATACTTTGTAGTCTCAAGAAGAAACCAGCGTTCCTCCGTCTGACCTTCAGGGGGGTGAACTGACCAACAAGGTTGAACTGCATTGAAAATCACTTTCCCAGGAGCTAAATTAGCTTCCGTATGCAAAACAAATTGTTTGCTACAACAAACAAAAGTCAACAGGTTCCCACCTCATGTCACCTCAGATTGTATTTGTCAGTTCACGTGTACATACCGGAGCACGTACATTGGAAGGACAGAGAAAAGAACTGAGATTAGATTTTTTTAAAGCTTAAAAGAGCCAGAGTATCCTAAAAGTTCCATTGCCAAACATCTGATGGACAGATGACACGCCTTCCAGATCTCAAAGATATTCAAAATAGTTGATAAACAAAACAGTGGTAAGTTACCAAGATTCGCCGAAGCAATTGTCATCAGAAGAATTAAACCGAACTTATACATTCAAAAAGAGGCAGTTGTTAGCCTCCAATTTCCATGATACCCATTGATTTGTTTTGTCATTCCAAAATTCTGTATTTTCATTCGTCTTTTTACAACCCATTTCATAATCAATTCCCATTTTATTTCCGCAAGTTTACTACTCTGTCCAGACTGACTTGATCTTAACCCATGGCCCTATATTTGGATCGTTAACTCATCACATACACTTATGTAATTACACTCACGTAATTGTTTCATTTGAATCTTCTTGATTTGTATCAATTCCTTCATTATGTCATCAGTCGACTGTCATCTTCATGATAAGTGAACTGTGTATATTTTACTTCTCTCTATACATATCGTGTGATTTTATAGCCTTTACACAGTTGAAAAGAAGGCGACGAAATACAATGAATATATCGTATTCTGCAAAATTTGTTGTTTAATCCTTGGCAGAATTTTTGAAGGGTAACGGTTGTATGAAAATTTCCCACCTTAGTCCCGCCATCATAATCTTTTGCATAGAATTTGAATTAGTCACTCTATATGAAGCATATGATCTGACCTCACATAAACCGTTTTTCTATACTTCAACAACTCTATAATCAGTTTCTCAAGTTTTTCGTTAATTCTACTGCAAGCATTTAAATTACTGCATTGTGTTGTGCAATCAGGTCATTTATGCTATGAATTTGACGTAAAGCCAACATCATGGTCAGGAGTACTATCCATAGCAATAGGCGACAGTTTCGCTGCATTAATTGGAAAAGCTTATGGTAAACGTCGTTGGCCTGGATCACATCGAACATTTGTAGGATCTTTTGCCTCCTTCTTATCTCAGGTAAGTCCGTTTCATATATTTTGTGTAGTCCGTGAGATATCACGTTAGAGCTACATATATTTCCTATGTAGTAACGTAATTTCTATTATTGACACCCCGTCAATTGCTCAGCTGAATGAATGTGTGCATTTAATTGATTTCAAGGTAATTCACCATATCTCAGTTTCAGCCGGAGTAACATTCCAAATGAAGAAGCATTGGTTAGTTATTTCTTCACTCTTTCCAACTCTTTGCTTTGTATCGTTCAATATAAAAGTTAACTTGAAATGTATCCAGTTCTCATAAACCGTTAACCTATGTGAAAAACTCAGTGCTTATCGGTGACTTACTTTGAAGTGAGGTTCCGAAAATCACCTATGGGATAAACAAAGTCGATATAAAAATGAATGCTCACCGATGATGACATTGAAAACTAGTTATACCAAATCAGTGGTTGAAAGAGGTTGAAAAACGGCAGTTAACTTTCAACTCCCTTTTAATGAATTTTTACCCTCCCTCCACTTAACTTAATAACTCTGGACTTTGTCCCATATGCAGTCATGAGTGCACAAACGATTAAATCTCAAACTCGGAGGAAGCAACTACCCATCGGCTCTTGTCTGTCATTGTTTGCCTGAAGGATTACAATCCATAGCGAAAACTGTCTTGCAATCAAACTTCACAGTGTAAATTAGTTTCAGGTAATAGTTAGTTGAGAATTGTTTCAGCATTTTAGTAAGAAAGCAAGCAGATATGATGGCTTCATTTCGTTTCCCTTTTTAGCTTTATCCACAATAAAGAAATTCAAAAATCTTGACTGCTGTAGAAGAGATAGTCTATTGCTCAGTAATATTGGAAAAGAGTTAAATCGCAAGCGCTTAAGATTTCGAGTAAAAGTAACGATCGATTCAAATCAAAGTTCCACAAAGTTTATTAGAAAAACACAATTAATCGCCTTCAATGCATAGCGTTCTCTGAGCTGGAAAACAGAATTAACTTCCGGCGCAATGGTGTCAGTTTTCAAGCTAGATATGACATAATTAAATTCAAATCTGAAACTTACAAGCCGGTTTTGTGTGACTGGCCTCAACGTTTTCTCTCGCGTTCTGCAATTACGTGCAGTTAATCTATTTTCTCTTTCAAATGCTTCAAGAAAAAGTAATCTTCCATTGTGTGGGAAGCCAAAAAGTGTAAGCCACCCTCATATCTCCGTCAACGCTCACGTTCCCTCAGAGCGTTATCAACATTCAACACCTTTCCCTTCTAATCTATCCTCACCTCTCTCAGTCAATATTCATTCCAAAGAAATCTTCACTTTATCCTAGCTATGCAGCTAATGATAACTATCAGATTTCACAAAACAGTATGTCTGACCTCCACAAACCGTGCTCCAAACTACACATCAAGCTTTCGATGTCCGTTCTCTCCGACAAATCAGACAGCAAGCTTCGCCACCATGAATCTGATATTTCCAGTCATCGACATTCGATGTACTTGTAAAACATGCATATAGGACCGAAGTGCGGTTATTCACTTAACTTCAGTCGATCAGCATAGTGAATCTGTAAAATTCACTCTTCGATGGCTAGTTCTCGTGGTCTAGCAGGTGCAGCATCAGGTTGGGAGACAGAAAGTACACTGCTCGAAGGGATACCAGTAGACAGATAGCTGTGAGATGTTCCGCTGAATGGTACAGTGACGACTAGAAAGAGTAGTGAAACTCACCACAGTCTCTTTGTAATCTCAGCTAACGCACACCCACTAGCTGGAGTTTGGATGAGGGGAAGTAGGAGTTCCACCGAAACTGTCTAGCCTCTTGGTGACAAGTAAACGTTAAGATGTGGTCATTGTGGCTGGTGATTCGACTGCACAAGCGGGTATGCAAAGTCAGACAGAAAGGCATTTAGGTGGTTGTATTTCTTGACCTGATGGCAGCATTCTTCTCCGTCGATCGAGGAGACTTATGGCAGTGTCTTGCATTATAACAGGTGTCGAATTGGTACACCACACTTTTACATTAGCTCTATTGGAAAACCGGTAGGTGTTTTAGAGTATGTGTTGAGGTACCAGGTGAACTGTGTGAGTCGAGTGGTGTCCGTCGAAAATGTTCACTCTCTTCACTTTTATTTATTTTCGTGACGGTCGTGCTAACAGAGAACTCCACTTTCTTGTCAGGGTAATGGGATTGATTTTATCACGTGAGACTCCCGAGTAGATCTGTAGTACGCAGATAACACTCGTGTTAGATGAAGAGGCTGAGAAGAGTCAAAGTCAAAGTCTTCTGGACACCTTGAATAGAAGTATGAGAATGCTTGGTATGTTTCTCACGAGTGAACTGTAAATTGTTGCCCCTGGACTGGCATTTGGTGTTGTCTTGTCTAGTAAAATAATAGAGAGTGAAGTGGTTGATTAGCTTGGGAAGTCAGATGAAGCTGGAGAAGTCAGTGACCAACGAAATCTTTGCAGGTATATACAAGACTTGGTTGGTGTTTATCACCCCTTTCTTAACCGATAGCTGTTACCTTGATGTGGTGATCAGACATGCATATCACAATGACCCAACTAAAGACAGCATCCTCTCCTTCGGTCATTATTTTTTTGGCAGTGTCCTACACTGAAACAGGTGCTGGATAAGTACATAATGTTGTATTCGCTCAGTTGGACAACGGCAGTTGAGTTAAAGCCTATGGTGAGGTATCGTTTTAGTTACCTGGTCGATAGCCTCTAGCTTGACATGGTTGTCGGGCTTGTGTATCTCAACGATTCGACGAGCTACACTGCGTGAAGGTCTGTTGTGTAGTGGTTAAACAAGAAGCTGTACACAAAATCCAACCAAACATAACTCATACTTCTCAACTCTATGTATTCCGCAAGGAAAACGATGTTTCTTCTTTACTTCTACCGTTGTTTCGATTAACTTCAACATGGATGCAATTAAGGACAAATTCTTTTCTCATTTGATGAGCCTTTTCTACTACATGGACTCAGAAGATTGTCGTTTAGCTGACCTATGACTATCGGTTGGCCGCAGGTCGTATAGTTGAGATCACCTCCAACACAATGCTCGCTACCATGCATCCTCTTACAAATAAAGCCAGTAATGTAATGGTCAAAAATTCCAAGCTTTAGGAGATATCATAGTGAATTCATCTGTTCCACTGCAACAGAATCTCAGCTTTTTCATCCAAAACTCCTCAGCCACTCACTCCTATCGTCATAAGCCAGGCAAACCAGCCCGCCAGCTAGTCTACACCTCCCCCAAATGACCCCCAGCAACAGTCAGAGGCTTCATCCATTGGTGCCATGTCTTTGTCTGACGACCCTGAACCCTCTTCCGGCCTAATCCAACATCTGGCATGATACGTCGGGGTTGGTGGCTCAGTGTGGGCAGCACATGTTCTAGCCACTGCAGTCAATGAAGGTTGACAACCTCGTTAACTGTTTTGTGTTTCTCGTGTAGTACGCTGCACGTGACATCAACACTCCCTACCTAGTGATTCAACCATGCACGAGCAATGCCACGAAGACACCTGTGATCAAAACTTGCAACTGCCTCATGTCTTTTACTTTTAACATATATATATATATATATATATATATATATATATATATATATATATATATATATATATATATATATATATATATATATATATCACAGCACAGAATGGAACGCAGCGCAGTATATTCGTCCTTTGGCATATGGTCTAATTTCTCACTGGTTAATGCAGCAAATGACCCAGGTTGGCAAATGCCAAACTGGCCTTTCGTATCCGAGGTGAGATTTTGTTAGCAACCAGCCCGTTCGGGTTGATGCTACTTCTCAAATTAAGTGAAGTCGTCGATATTTTTCACCGTTTCACTGTCTATCACTTAACTGGGATTATGTACATGAGAGCAGTCCTGGAGCATCATCTTACAAATGGTAGGTTCGAAATGCATGCGAACCATACTCGGATTTGTGCTCAACGCGTTTAAAACAGTGCATTGTTTTTTACGTAGTGGGGCAATGTCTTCTGCTTACTCCAATTCAACGGGAGTACGTAAATCTCTGTTTAGTCCGAAGAGTACCTGAAGTTATTTTCAGTAATACATCTATAACGAAGTTGAGCAGGGATTGTAACTGCGAGTATCCCTGATGGACACCACCAGCTGTCATCATTTCAGATGACAACTCTCTCCAAGGTCCTACACAACTTCGTGAATTCGAGGAGAGGGCTTTGAATAGCGTTATATACCCGCTCGGTAGTCCTTTCACTGTCAGACTGCCACAGTTTCTAAAGATCGACGGAATGAGTGTTGACTTTAGGTCAAGAATTATTTTAGAGTTATGAAACACTCGCAGCTTGTCACACCTTCCTAAGCAATGTAATGAGTTCCACACCTTATACGTTGTTTTTATCCTTGAAAAGAACCTTATGTAAGTTGCATGGACCAGCTACCTTCTATTATTATTCCACTTGGATTTCTTTTTAAATCTCCACTAATTCAGTCAGTAGGTGATAAGTAGACATGGACTGTATAATGCTGGGATAGTAAACCAGTAAAATTGGTTTCTTAGCTTCTCCTCCTACCATTGCGGGATCCTTGAAGTGTGGTCAGTGCACCAGCTACTTCATAGACCATCTCGCAGACACTAGGCTTCCTCTGTTGACTCGGATGTGTGGGGACACCATTTAGTTATTACTAGATGTGACAGCTATATGCATCTCACTTGCAGTTTTTAAACACCGAGCCTTGGAGTTCTTACGTATCTGCTGTTCGACCTACTGCATACGCGACATAGGGATACCGTCACACTCACTGTCCACAGAAGTACATCGACTTGCGTTGAGAAGTTGCTAGGAGCTTGCAGATAGCCAGTGTTTGTTAACCGAACACTTTTCAAAGTAGCTAGAGTTCATGTTTTGGGGAAGTATTGTAGGTGCAGCTACGGCTCATCTATGCTTCCTAGAGGTTCGACAGCTAGCCTTGAACTTATTTCGGTTCGGTACTTATTTGCAATACTAGGTGCAACCAATTCAGACACTTGAAAGCCAGCAACTTGGACGTAGCAAACTGTATCAGATAAGTTGTAACATGTATCGATTACTTTTTGTAAACAATTGTCTTGCGGCTGAAGATGATACAAACAGACTCATATGCAAGTTGGTGATGAGCAGCTGCGTGAAATACCGGCATATATTCAGGGATAGCTTCAAAAATCGTAATAGAAAGATACTATTGTTCAGAGTGAAAATAACGAAGATGTGAAGACAGTACATAGAATGATTTAGGAGAATATTTGTAACACATTGGATATTTTTCCTTTCAGGGATATTCGGTGAGTGCCATGTTGTCTTCATTTTGAACGTTGGTTTCCTGGATAGTATGTGATCTATGATATTGCTTCTGGACCGATGCTTTTTCTGAATCTGGTAGTTGTTTTATGAGACCGACTCACGAACCTTCGACTGGAAGTCTGATCCAGGTGATTCCAGAGCATTTCCTTGGCTGCTGGTAACAAAGATAGGTTCGTGCGTTCTAAATCATGGATGCCTCAGTGTTTTAAAATCAGGATTTTCCAACTCCCTTCGGTGTACTTTCCGTGTAAACGAATCTGGTGTTGGCGTTGGATTAGATTGCTTGTATCTAGTGGAAACACCATATAAGCAGTCCTGTTGTTCGCCAGCAGCGTGTATTTAGGTTTGATTGTCATCGTTATTCATTGAGTGAAGTCATCTTAAAACAGCAACTTTGGTGATTTTGACATGTTTCACGAAAATTGTCCCAGCAGCTTGAACACTTCACTGTATAGGTGTCTGATGACCCTGTGAATGGGATCTAAGAGGTAATCCAAATCATTGACGATGGCAAAGTTGGACCAGAATCGTAACTAATCGTGGTCTTGTGGCAGTTTTTTTGTTTCTTATTTTAGCGAGAAGTCGAACGAAAGTAACCTTCATAAACTTAAATGCTCGGGGCATGTATTACGCATGCCTAGTCATTATCTGCCTTGTCGCTAAAATAGGTTCAGACTGGAAAAGTGTTAGAGGCGACCAGGCTAAAGCATGATTGTTGGCGTGAAACATGTGGATAGATGTACACCTCCACATGACAACTGAAATCAGTGGTCAGGGAGTGTAGGTGATATGATTCAGAATTGATATCACTGCCTCATATTCATCGACATATTATCCTAATGCTACTCGTCACGCAAAACTCCACCATTATTTTATTGCTACTTTTCCTTTTAGGATATTGTTTTAGTGCTTTTCACGTCTTTCTACTAGTTCTGACTACTGTCACTCTTATTTATCTATTTGTTATCTTGGTAGATTCTTGGTTGATATGCTGATATAACGTGTGACAGCTTGAACCCCTACGCAGTAAGATCTGATATCGATCCTGACCGACTGATACTGCAGTGACGTTTGATTAACTGCACAGTTAATTAAGTGACCGATATGAAAACTTGTCTTACAACTTCGTTCCTGTTGCTGAACTGTAGATGAATGTCTAGAGACTGAACCGCTCTATAGCGTATCGCTCATTCTTTAATTATTTTCTTTAATAAAGGCTAGTGATACTACCTAGCTGTCTAAACCTCAATAGATGAAAGAGATCTCGGACCGGTGACCCAATGATTGATAGTCATCTCCCTAAACCATTGAACCACAACTCCACTTTTAGTAAAGGAGGCAACTAACTATTTGCATACTAAAGATGCGGCTGCAATAATATATAACTTCGACCCCTTACATCAGGCAGTAAATATTTAGTTAGAATTGTAGTTAGTAAATTCCTTTAACCGTGCATTTTAGGCCTGTATTTTATCCATTTTAACCGGACAATGTTTAATTTCACCGTAGCCTGGAATTTACTCAATTTACTTGGTATAGCGTAACTCGTTGTTTTATCTTTTTGTTTAAAAAAAGAAGAAGTTAAAACAGCATATCAGTGTCGAAAGCAACGAATAAGAAAATATTTAAACATCTAGAAAATGAAACTGACAGATAGTATATTACATAAACTAGCAGACCATACTTATAGATACATACAGACAGACAAAATCAATGAAGAATTTCGCACAGAAGTGTGTCGCTTCAACTTATCACACGTCACAGTAGCACTCAAAGAATGAATGGATAGAGAAAGCCTGATATCAGAGAAGATACGGGTGTATGAAAGTAGGAGGTATTTAAAAAAAAGCTTAGTCAAAACATTCAAGCTTTGTAAGATGTCAAGTAGTGAAAACATCTGAACCATTGTCACTGGTTTTCAACAATGTCGCGGTAGGGTCGCCAAGAGTTAATTCCTGTCAAGGACTCCAGACAGGTAGTTTACACCTCCCTACACTGCTCAGATCAGTTGTCAGGGCCTTCATGCATTGATACCACGTCTTAATCTGGCTACCCTGAACCCTCTTCCAACCTAATTCAAATTCTGCCAGCATTGCACACTGATTGAGGTTGAAGAAATATCTATCAAATATTTACAAGGGAAGTAATGAAACATGCAGATATGCGTCATTTGAGTACGCCTCCAACTTTCAACTAATGATATTCGCCTTCATATGCCACTGCATCTGCTTCACTTTAGGCATCAGGGTGCTATTGTAGCGGGAAATAATTTTACGAAATCAATGGCCAAGGGTTTGACGGAATTTAACATTGATGCTGACCTTTGTAGTTTTAACGGAATTGTTAAGCTGTAGAGACACGGTTAAGTATCTACGCTATTTCGCACGTTGTCGCGTTGCTCGTAGGTGATTCTTTAGTCGGTCAGTCGGGATATTTTGGCACACCTGGCTACTCTATTGTGTTCTTTCGTGGTCTCGCACTCGTGGATATATGCCAAGTACGAATAATTAGTGATTGGCCTTTGGGCCTGTCAAGTCCGCTTAAGACTAGTTCCTAAACTGTCGTAAGCCATCATACCAAGTGAGGTTAGCGCACGTACAGCCGTAACAGATAGCTGAGTTACATCATATGTATTTATAAGAGGATTAAATAATTAGTCCAGAGACTAAGTCTACACGTAATTCTAGACCTTTTATTCTCTGCTACTGAATGAATAAGTCCAGTTTGATTTTAACCAGTTTCCTTAATAAAGTCATGTTGATATCTTTTAATTGGTTACAACTCGAGAGGGTGTTGATTTGAGTATTTACACGGCGTTGAAGGTCACATATGCACTTACAACTGTCTGTGTAACTTGGGCTTTCGTAAAACATGTGTTCAAAAAACTAGAAGAAAGGCTTATATTACCACCGTCTTATTTTAACTTTCTTAACGAGTTTACGGCAAATAAATTTGGTTATGTATGAATGTAGTTATCAAGATCCAACTAACGATGGTCATCGGTTGATCAAGTTTGCAATGGAGTATCGTTTGAACACATTGCAAACTTGATCAATAGACTTTGATTACCCCGCGAAACATGTCAGCTGTATCGGTAGTCTTCTAATTACCGGCTCGCATACGTCATGAGTCCTGTGAAGGATCGGTCATGTTCTGCTTTGGTTGACGAGTTCTAGAGAACTTGGATTTTTTCAGGGTTGCAAATACAGTTCTCTGATGTGTACTGGTAACCATGTAACGCAACGCTGCCGGTTGACGTCTAACACGGAAATTCCGGATACAATTTGTGCTACAAGTGTTGAATTTCGTAATGTAAGTATCAAGAGTAAGTTGAAAATTTGATGGCTTTAAATCGTTAGCTTTTTCACTACATTAGGTGTTTTTTCAACACACCTCAGCTGAAGGTACCATGCACACACATGTATGCGTTTGTGCATGGAATCTTTTGAACATTTAAATATAATTGTCATCTTCAATTTTATCTTCTATGGATTCAGGTTGTTGCATGGACTGGCCTCTCTTACTATTACTCATGGCGATGGTATTCAGGAATTATTCCTTTATTGTTTGGAGTGCTTGTGGAAGCGTACACAGAACAGATTGATAATTTAGTTGTTTCGCTTGTTGTGATGTTAACTTTTTTGATCAGTAATACTGTTGCTAATACTGGCAATCTTTTTGAGCACTTCATATTTTTCTGGTGTACATATGATTGTGAAATAAATGGTAATATATATTATCTGTTTTATTCCCCCCCCCCTCCTGTCTTTCTTCTTAGTTGTTTGTATGTTGTAGATTATCGGTATTGTTTATTAGCAGGCGAAAATGTCAAGGAGCCGTCAGTGAATGACGATATTTGATCGGTTGTTAAGTATGATAATGCAACTCAGTAGTTCGGTATAGGCTTATGTACTTAGCTATGAACCCTACTAAATGTTTGGGACTTATGATGATAGTATCTGATTCTCTAGGTCTAAGTAGGTGAGGCGATGTTTAAACCCTGTTGGTTGGAGGTTGAAAGTCTAAGCCAATTAGTCACAACTGTACAGTTTTGGTATGGAAAGAAACACCGTGTAGATGGTTAACTATTCAAGCAGTGGTAACTTCATGTTATCTAGATTGCAGTTTCAAGTTAAAACTTTGTGCCCGTGGTTTGATGGGCATTGGAAAACTATTGAGAAGTCTTAAAGCAATGCTGTCTGCTTTTTCAAAGTGTATTGAGCTTCATGTAGTCATCAGTTCCTCAAAGATGCTGATCGTCTCAGGTGGTCTAAAACTTTTTTCGATAGACAGGTCGAAACGATGACCAACTAACTGGTAATTATTCGGTCGTATGAGCAATGTTGAGGTCAGGTGAAGGGTACTAGGCAAGAGAGCTAAGTCATTCAGTGGAGTGAACCTTCATCAACTGGGGTGACTTGAACATGTACTGCGCATGCCGAACCACCTCCTACCTTTACGTGCGACGTTCTACATTGATTTTGTCAGTCAGTCAGCCGCCTGAAATTACTTCGTTTTGATACTGCTAGGGGAAAATAAGGGAAATTCTGTAGTTCCCAGCGGTGTGCAAACCAACTGATATTTTAAGTATTGCGTTGCTACAGCTGACGGGCAAGTTGTACAGTTATCAGTTCCTATCTAAACTAGCGACGTGAATCTTATGACCAATTTCCAATTCGCTGACATAAAACAAATTTCATTGGTACATTTGGCACGAAGTGAGCAAACAAATCATGGGCAGGAATTATTCGACCTAGTATGTCATAATTGATAACTACGAAAGGATCTTGCCATAATTCTGATTCAACACTGTCAGACAGCTGATCATTTCATGGACAGCATGGGAAATTTCCTGCAGCACTTTCTTAGCCCGAAGCAGAGATTAAGGTTGCGTCGCATCATGACATTTTCTGTGTAATTGACTTGCATCACAGCAAGAAATGTTCCTTTAAGGTCTGAAAACATCTTCACTCATTGCTATAGTTGTAATCGTTGAAACTCCGCTATTTTGATGGTCAGTTGTGTCAAATTAAAATGTGAGTTGTGAAGCGTTCCATCACTGATTAACCACAATAATTGAGGAGTCTCTATGAGACCGTAATGAATGGAATGCAACTCGCGTCTAGTAATGCTGGTTATGTATCTTTTCGGTAAATTCGATGGAAATAATAAGCAGCACTTCACAAACGGAAGTAAAGCAACTGTGCGCGTCGATGTTTAGAATCGCGATGTGATGCTGACTCACCATGTGAAGATTAACAGCTAGTCGTATGTCGGCTAGTCATGGAACTATATTACAACCTTCATTTTCAGGAAGTGCAAAAAACATTTGAAAGGTGAATTTTAGAAACAACTAGGCTTCCTGATTGGCATCTGGGAGAAAACAGAATCCGATGTTGGCGGAGTACATGGTATAGCTCAAAGTCTGGTTCAGCAGTAGTTATATCTGTGTTTCATCATCAAATAAATTGATGCCAAATATCCTAGTTTTTGTCTTATAATTTTAGAACGATTGACTAGCACACTTTTCTTTTCTTACGTTCCATCCTGTTGCTTTTAAGTGTGGTGATTTGAGCCATTAAACAATAGTTTATCATCTTATTTTCTTCCCTAATATCTGTTACGGTTTCGAATCGCTAATGGTATATATATACATTCCGAAACGAATATAATACGCGCGCTTAGCTGACAGCTAACTTGGTACGCAAGAGACACTGGCTGCAACCCCGGGACGAATAGAGAGGAGACCGGAGCTGGCAGATGGGAGAGTGTATTGCTCCGAGAACATAACATAATAACGATGAATCAATCCAAAACATGTGAATAAGTGTGCACATGAAAAATGACCTTGTCCGCAATTGGAGAAATTCGCATAGTGTAAGAGAAGAGAGTGTGAATATCAATGAAAGATTGCGTAGGAAGGTTGGCAAGTCGGCCAGTTGATGATAAAGAGCAGACAGATTATGTAATAATAAAACGAGCTGAACTCAGTTGGTAGTCTTTTGCAAGGTGCATACCGTACTTGAGAGTCCTAATCGCCAACTGAGTGGGTACAATCTAGGTAGTTTGTGTGTTGTGTAGCACAATGAAAGGATATCGTCTACTTATTCAGGGTTGAAAAATATCTCACCTAGTTGCAGTTTTGCACCACCACATATTCCCTTACTAGCTGCCTCCAAAATACTAATGATAGAGAAACTGGACAGCCGTTCATAACTCTGCCTTGATTGATAACAATGGAAAGAGGCGGCCATATGCCTCTGTAGAGCTCTGAAATCTGACTCCAAATTTATATATGTGTCCAGACATACTATCACCTATTTATAATTCTCGACACTGCTGATCCACCTGAGTCAGACAGTGTAAATATCAGGAGTTAACGCGAAGTATATATCAGGATGTTGTGTTGGTCAACGAGCGAGCAAAAAGTCTTTGTCAGTACAACTAAACAAAAAATGTTCAATGAGTTGTTACACATATCAACACAATACAGTGAAATAAATTCCTACACAAGTCCTTCCTCTCAATACAGATATAAGAGAAAATATGTGTTCGATGTAAAATGTTATAAGAAGGATAAATTCATTTTGAAGATGTTAAAAACATAGAAGGAACGTTAAGGATATCTACTATCAGGATGAAAACTGATTGGGAGAGTGTTTACGTAAAAATGAAGTTTATGATAGTCGAAACACTAAAATAACTTTACCAAAGTAATAATGTACCTAGAGATAAAAAAAGTTAACAACCAAAATCGTATTACCTGGAACATTGTTAAGAAATAAAAGATTCGTTGGTCCGTGGTGCCCGGGAAAACTTTTTTTGTTTCTGTGCATGCGGAAAAGTCTGACAAAATCGTGTGGTCATGTTTTCAACAAGGTAATGAGCAAAACGATAATAATGTTACTAGGGAATTGGTTTTATGAAATGTAAATTGTCTGAAAGTAACGTCGTGGCCAACGGACTCTTCTTCCGGATCTCGTGGTTCTGCTACCGTCGTTATATTGGGTGATTCCGATGCCGTTGTTTCTGTTTTGACGGTGGTTTTCGGTGTTTCCGGTTGCTTCACTGTGGGTTCAGACTTGGTATCCGTGACATCTGGTTCCATAAACGCTGGTTTGATTCTATCAATGCTGACCGTTTCTCGTCTACCCGAGCGTTCGACCGTGACAACTTTGTCTGATTTACTAATTACCTTGAAAGGTCCTTCATACGGGGGCTGTAAGGGTTTTCGTACGCCGTCGTGTCGGACGAAAACGTGAGTGCAGTTTGAGATGCACTGAGGTACGTAAACTTGGTTGTCTCGGTATCGTGGGGACTGAGGTCGAAGTGTGCTCATGTGTCGCCGTAGTTGTTGTACATAGTTAGTCAAGTCCGGTGGAACGTCTGTTGCCGGGTTAAAATACTCTCCTGGCAATCTTAAAGTAGTTCCATAAACTAACTCAGCAGTACAGCAGCCAATGTCCTGCTTGACACTCGAACGTATACCAAGGAGTACTAGTGGTAATTTGTCACTCCACTTGTCATCAGTCTTTACTGCCATCAGTGCTGCTTTTAGTTGTCGATGGAACCTTTCGACAATACCATTGGATGCTGGTTCTTATGCGCTTGATCCCGAGAAGTTCAGTTAACTGTTGAAATAGACTACTCTCGAACTGCGCACCTCTATCTGTGGTGATGACACTTGGGACACCAAAGTTAGAAATCCAGTGTTGGATGATATTTCTCGCTACTGTTTCGGCAGATATATCCTGCAGAGGTATTGCCACTGGCCATCTCGTGAATCGGTCTACACATGTTAAAATGTAGCTAAAACCATTTGACGGAGGTAGTGGTCCAACGATGTCAACGTGTATATGGTCAAATCTGCCATCCGGTGGGGAAAATCTTCCCGTAGGTGAAAGAATATGTCTTTGCACTTTCGATCGCTGGCACGCTAAACAAGCTCTGGACCACTGTCGAAGATCTCGATTCATCTTTGGCCAGACGTATCGGTCAGTAATTAACTTCACCGTAGCTCGAATACCAGGATGTGAAATGCCATGCATCTTAGAGAAGACTAATCGTCTCATTGATAACGGCACAAACGGCGCGGTTTACCCTTGGATACATCACAGGTGATGGATACAGAGTCATCAAGTGTCACTTCTTCAAGACGTAATGAGGTGTTCACATTGTTTTTCAAATGTTTCAAGTCCTCATCCGTGCCTGCAACTTTGCCATTTCTGCTAGGTCAATACGGTCACGTTCTAAGACGTTTACGTACATACGAGACAAAGCATCAGCTGCCTTTGATATACCTTATATCTGAAGTGAATTGTGAAATAAATTCTAAATGTCGAATTTCTCGGGGCGAGTAGTTGTCATGCTTTGCATCAATTGCTTTTGTGAGTGGCTTATGGTCGGTGAATACTATAAATGAGTACCCTTCGAGCATATATCTGAAGTGCTTGATAGCCAAGTAAATCGCCAGTAGCTCTCTGCCGAATGTACTGTATCGCGATTGAGAAGCATTAAGTCGTTTCGAGAAGAAAGATAATGGTTCCCACTGACCGTGAACAAACTGTTGTAGTACTGCGCCTACCGCAACATTTGAAGCGTCTGTCATGATGGCTAGTGGTGCTTCTGAATCACGACGAGAGAGAAGAGTTTCAGAACTTAGAGCCAGCTTCAGTTTGTCAAAAGCATCATGGGCCGCTTGGGTCATGTGAAACACTTTGGCTCGT